CGGTCGAACTGGTTGGTACTGATTTTTTATGGGACTCAAAATTAGGACCGAAAACTGAACTGTATTTACAAGTTGGGTACCGGTTCGGTTTCGATTTTGGGATGGGAAAATTAGTACTGGGATCACTTAGGACTGAAATATGAAAGTGGGTTAAGAAACAATCAGAAGTTCATAATATTCATAATGTTTGAAATGTGTATCAAAACCAATCGCAAACTACTTAATCTTTGGTATTCTGTCCCCTTTTCCTTTTTTTGTTTTGTCCGATTTTTTCGCTGGTGATAGGGCTGATTTTTTGAGGTTCTTGAATTTGTTGTAAAATTGGAACTGATAACCGAACCGATTACATGCATACGGTCCGAGTCCGGTTCTGTTCGGAAATATGGTTCTTGTTAGGACTGAGAAATCAGTATTAATTGTATTCGTCTTGAAAGTTTATAAATAGTTTAATTGTAAAAAGTCAGCGTGTTTGACTTTTCTTATAGGTTTGACTTTGACCTTGTCTTTGTTAGTTTGACCATATAAATATGGTTAAGTCTTTGTAGTTAGTTAAGAAGAGAGGAGCTAAATTGTAATATTCATACGTATAAAGAGTTTGACCAGAGCTTACATTGTTGACTTTCTCTCTCAAGTGTTCTTGATGTTCTTAATGCAATATCTAAGATCTGCCATGATTGATATGAAGAATTGAAGAATTGATCAGTGATTGTGGACACACAATTGGTATCAGAGCTGGAATGCAAGAAATCAGAGATAAAAAGAAATCAGATAAGTTTTAGTTTTAAATTTTTTTTCTGAATTTTTTTTCGTGTTCTTCGTGTTCTTGAGTTTTTCTTTGTTTTGATCCGATTTTGCATAAAAAATCTTGTGTTTTTGTGTTAAAAACATGATCAAAATGCTCGGAATCGTGTTGTGAATCTTTGTTATTCACAAATTTTTGTGATTTGATCAATTTTAATCAAGATTTAATCGGATTTTGTGTTTTTTTTTAATTTTTTTTTATGTTCTTGAATTTTTTTTAATCAGTGTTTTTGATCCATTTTTTGTTAATTTTTTTTCGTTTTTATGTTTTTAATTAGTTTTGATCTGTGTTTGAATTCTATTTTGGTTGATTTTGTGTTAATCCGTCTAAGTCCATCCGGTTTAAAGTCTTTGGGCTTAATATAACTCAGGCCCATCCGGATAAGAGTCCGGCTACTCTATTTCTTCTTGAGTCGATCAAGAGATAAACAGCAAGCTAAGTCCAAACCGCACACCTCTTAAACGGTGTTTATCTACACCGCACGCTTCTTGATCGGAGTAGAGGTAAACCGAAGGAAGCATCACCGGATTTCTTGAACGGATTTCTAAACCGGATGTTTTGCACAAATCAGGTAAGTCTTCTTGACCGGAGTGTGAGCGGTTTAGGTTTTACCACTTGTCCCGTATTCATGTATACCGATTGATTCTTGCCCGGTTTAGAGTTCTGATTCATTCAGCAGGTAAGCCATCCAAGCGGTTTAGGACTTGTACATCGAAGAAAGTTGAGCGGACTTCTAATCCGCTTGATTTCATTTACCCAGATTCATATATCACTTTCTATTTTTGATTCAGTTTGGGTATACATCATTTCTTGATTCGATTTGGTTCAATAAAATTGTTGATTGAGTTGATATTAATTCTTAAATTGCTCTTATGCTATCCGGTTTAGTTTGAGTTGTGTTTGATTTTATTTGAAGTCATGTTCTATCCGGTTTACTAAACAGGACTGAAACAGCAACAGCAACTCAGTGAGCGGATTGGTTTTTACAGCAGGTCTTGTTGTAAAAAGATAACAGGACTGAAACAGCAACAATTTTTTTTCTGTTTTGATCTGTGACAGCAGTTTTTAAAACAGGTTGCAAGGTTGATTTGAAATAGACAGCAGGTCTTGAAAGTCTTGAAACAGACAGCAGGTTTTAAAACAGTGTGCAGGTTTAAGCAACAAGCTGTTGTAATTTGTTTAAGTGCTGTGTTGGTGTGGAGAAGACGAAAGCAGCTGTTTTGAGCTGATTTGGTGCAGTGAGTGAAGGTTTKCCTTGCTCAGGTTCTTAAGTGATTACATTTTGACAGCAACTTCACAGCATTGCAACARYAGGTTTGTGATTAAGTGTGTAGCAGCAAGCATAAAGGAGAAAGCAAGCAGCAGCAGAACTAAAATAGCAGCAACATGGTTTATATACATGTTGTCATCATGTTGACAGGTTCTTTGTAAACAGCAGGATTGAAATTAAAAAGTGTGTAGTAACAGCAGGTTTAATTTGATAATACAGTTTTATGTGCAGGTTTCTGTTTTAAACAGCAA